TAGAAATGCATTATCTGGCTAGGTAGTCAGGCACACTGTGTTGCTTAGTGCTGCAAGGATGTAACAGTTTACTGGATAAGTTGTATGGTTATTAAATGTTCAAGGAATTCAAGAAACAGAAAGCTCATGGTTGACCATTTTCTAATATCATCCACTCGTTAATTTGAGTTTATCAGCCTGAAATAAATTATTTTTGTTATTTTTTCTGTGTCACAGAAATGTGATCATTCCCCATTATTGTACTTATTTTCTACATGTACATTAAATATTGAATTTTTAAAGTTGTAATAACAAATGATGTTTTACCCACTTATATGAGAAGAAATAACAAAGGGTGTCTGCAGTGATCTAAATAATTTGCTGTGCAAAGCACTCATTCTTTTTTACATAATTACATTTATTTATTTTTATTAATTAAAGTTTATTCACTTTGTATCCCCCCATAGGGCCCTCCCTCCTCCCCTCCCCATCCCATCATCCCTCGCCCTTCTTCACACATGCCCCTCCCCAAGTCCACTGATAGGGGAGGTCCTCCTCTCCTTCCTTCTGATCTTAGTCTATCAGGTCACATCAGGAAGGCTGCATTGTCATCTTCTGTGGCCTGGCAAGGCTGCTCTCCCCTCAGGGGGAAGTAATCAAAGAACAGGCCAATCAGATTATGTCAGAGGCAGTCCCTCTTCCCATTACTATGTAACCCACTTGGACACTAAGCTGCCACGGACTACATCTGTGCAGGGGTTCTAGGCTATCTCCATGCCTGGTACTTGGTTGGAGTATGAGTCTCTGAGAAGACCCCTGTGTTCAAAAAGATATCATCCACTATGACCAAGTAGGCTTCATCCCAGGCATGCAAGGGTGGTTCAACATAGAGAAATCCATCCATGTAATCCACCACATAAACAAACTGAAAGAAAAAAAAAAAAACACATGATAATCTCCCTAGATACTGAAAAAGCATTTGACAAAATCCAACATACATTCATGTTTAAAGTATTGGAGAGATCAGGGATACAAGGCACATATCTAAACATAGTAAAGGCAATATACAGCAAACCTATAGCCAACATCAAACTGAACAAAGAGAAACTTAGAGCAATCCCACTGAAATCAGGGACAAGACAAGGCTACCCACTCTCTCCATATCTCTTCAACATAGTTCTGGAAGTCCTTGCTAGAGCAATAAGACAGTTGAAGGAGATCAAGGGGATACAAATTGGAAAGGAAGAAGTCAAATTATCACTATTTGCAGATGATATGATAGTATACGTGAGTGACCCCAAAAACTCTTACCAGGGAACTCCTACAGCTGATAAACACCTTCAGCAAAGTAGCCCTCCTGTATACAAAAGACAAAAGGACTGAAAAAGAAATTAGGGAAACAACACCCTTCACAATAGCCACAAAGGACATAAAGTACCTTGGTGTAACCCTAACCAAGGAAGTCAAAGACTTGTATGAAGAAAATTTCAAGTCTCTGAAGAAAGAAAGCACTCATTCTTAAAAAGAGGCTGCAATTTATAATTGTCAAGAGCTGTGGCTACTTAATTGACAATTGGGTTGGCTTGAGAAGACTCTGTGAGAGTATTAAAGGACACTTTTGGGTGTGTCTATGAGGAAAGAATTAATTGGGGTAGACAAAGGAATCTGCCTGATTATAGGCAGCAACAGCCAAAAATGAGGACTGCGGTTAAAATAAAAGATGAAGAAGAAGGGATACTGTTAGTACAGACCTCCTCTCTCTGCTTCCTGACTGTTATCATGTGAGCAGCTATGTTCCACCATGCTTTCTTCACCTTGACTAACTCTCATTTCCCGAAACTATGAATCATCTCTAGCCATTAACAAAATACTGACAGTACTCCGGGAAACGTTGTTCTGTTGCAATCATAATCTAGTAGCTGAAGTGATCTTTGTGCAGGTCCTTGATAAAAAGTAACAGCCATGAGTTAAGCCAAATTAAGACCAGGAGCCTTAGGCCCAACTTCATTTGGCAACAACAGGGAATTTCTTTCATTAATAATGATTCTCAAGCATTCGAATTTCCCAGTCATGTAAGAAGTTAGTACATAAGCAGATTCCTAAGTCTTAAGGCTCCAATCAACCTTGGCAGATCAGAAACCATCCAGCTGAATCTGACATAGGTGATTCATAGAAGCATCAATGACCTTCAAAAAGGAAAGAAGAGTGTGAGAGCATCAGCAAGGAGAAACTCAACTCAGGAATGGTCTTTTTTTAGTCAATATAGCTAGCACATGTCATTAATTTTAAAGACCCTTCCAGACAAATTTCTCAGGGTGAGACTATCAAAATCTGTGTCTCTCTATACACTTCTGTAGGACACATGAGAAAGCACTGAGCATTTGTGTGGCACCGTGGCCATTTGGATTCTCCTTTGTTTTAGTTTTCCTTCAGTCTACCTGAATCAGTTTTCCTTACACTTCTTACATTAAATATGTGATGTGGGAGTTGTTGTTGTTATTTTTCTAACACCTAATGGATTGGCTAGTTTTCATGTCAACTTGACATGGGCCAGAGTCAAAAGAATCTCAGTTGATAAAATGCTCCTGCCAGATTGGCCTGTGGGGAGGCTTGTGTGTGTGTGTGTGTGTGTGTGTGTGTGTGTGTGTGTGTATGTGTGTGTGTGTGTGTGTGTGTGTGTGTGTGGTGTGCCTTAACTAAGACATGTACTGATTACCCAACTCTTTAGATTCCAGCTTAATTCCTACAGTTAGTTCACTTCTGATACTAACTTCCTGGAGTAGGTCAGATACTACAGGTGAAGGGTCCAATACTCTAAAACGCCACTTGCAAGAAGCAGATTGTCACCTGTACTTAACCAATCATGTGTAAGTACAAAGGAATAATCCCACCTCAGGTGACAGAGTCACACTCACAACTCAAAAGAGGATTCAACTCTAAGGAGACAAATGCAAAAGGCTTGGAAGATCAGAGGGCACAGAGCTCTGTGCCCTCCATAAGGGACCACCCTTTAAACACCTTGATATTTTCACAAAGCCAGAAGCTCTCTAAACTCTCTCATTTAGGACTTTTAAAATAATTTATTTTCATGAATGCGTGTGCTTGTTTGACACGTGTTCAAGAACCACAACCACATGGAGATTAGAAGAGGGTATGGGGGGCAGGGCTGGAGAGCTGGCTGAGAGGCTAAGGGTGCTCTTCCAGAAGTCCTGAATTCAATCCCCAGCACCCACATGGTAGCTCACATCATCTATAGTGAGATCTAGGCCCCTCTGCTGGCGTGCAGGCAGAACACTGTATATATAACAAATAAATATTAGAAAAAAAATAGTTCAGAGAAGAGGGTATGGGATCTCCTAGAACTACACATGGTTGTAAACTGACTGTGGGTGCTGGAAGCTGAACATGGGTCCTCTGGAAGAACAGAAGCATTTAACTGCTGATCCCTCTCTCCATCTCATTTGCAATGTTTGCTGAAGGGCTTTCTGAAGAATCCATTACTTGAGCGTGATTGTTTGAGTCACTGGTTGTTTGTGATTAGCTGAATCTCCCTATCTAAGATCAAGGAACGCTCTAAGAGTTAAAACCTCTAACATATATCGTTCATTTCTCTTGCATCTAGATCCCACAATTGACAGGGCATTAAGTCCACCCACCCAAGAGTTATGTTGCGGTCATAAACTCCAATATGATTGAAAGAGGCCTTATATGAGTAAGAAGCATGTTCCTATTACTCCTGCCATTCAGGAAATCCTAAAGGTTGTTAAAGCTCTGTGTTGTCAACCAGGAATAAAGACCAAATATGGACTTCCTTCGGTATCACACAGCCCAACATATTCTCTGCATTGGAGTTTCCAGGTCTGCAGCCCGTCACTTGCCTTGCTTCCATTTCAGCAGAGCAGACCTGAAAAGCATCAGAGAAGTCCCACTAACTGGAGTGCCAATGGATTACATTGACTTCAGGCGGCTAAACTTACACTCATCTTCTTTAGACTCCTGTAAGAACCAACATACTTTTGATTTCAGCTTCTCCCAGAAGAATGGAGGAAAAAGCAGAACCATTCCCAATAACATTTCCTGTATCTCCAAGTTGATTATGACTTAGAAAAGTGTTCTCAAAAAAATCTACATGGGCAATAACATTTTATCACAACAGAAATAACATAGCATAAAATGTATCATGTTACTCTTTTTAAGAGTGTAGATCCATAGCATTAAGTGTATCCATATTGTTGTGCAGCTTCACCCCCATGGATGAACAAACGGAATGTCTATGCTCCGTAACAATCACATCCCTCTCATCTTCCCTGGCTTCCAGAAATGAGCTGCCATTCTACTGTTGCTGTGCCCCTCACAGAAGTAGAATCATATCACTTGCTTTTTTGTGTGATGGGTTCATTTCACTTCATATAATGCATTCAAGTTTTGCCAGTATTGTAGCATAACAGAATACTATTCCTTTTTCAGGCTAAATGATAGCACACACACACACACACACACACACACACACACACACATTGGCGTGTTCATGTGTGTATGTGAGAGAGAGATATCATATTTTGCTCATTCATTCATCTACAAATGAAAACAGGTTCGTTGGGAAACTTTTATATTTATTTCACTGTCATATCCTTAGCACTTAGAAAAGTTCCTGTTATGTAGTAGGTGTTGAAATGACTTGCTAAATGAATGAATTAATATTGTAAAAGTTAAATAATGTCCTTGATTATAATTATAGCAACCATTCCCTTTCCAGTCATAGGAAGAGAGACTGGCTAAGAGTCATTGAATCACAAATGGACAGTGGTTTAATCAACCATACCCTTGTAATGTAAGCGCCTCAGAACTCTTAAAGAAGAATCCCAAGCAAGGGAAAGTCATCATGATGCTAGTCTGCCTCTGGGTCACCTTTGACTTCACCATTTCTCTTCCTTCACTTTATCTTTCTAGTCCTTTCTTTTACTATCCCAGAGTACTTCTTCAATTGACTTTCCCTGCTTTTTCCTATTCTTGTCTCGCAGACAAAGATCAATAACCTGCTGAAACATTTATGCAGTTACGCTGGATCAAGGCGGCCTGGATTGACTCTGTGCACAGTACCTGAGTGAGTACACCGTGCGGGCTCCCGTGGCCACACTGGGGCTGTCATACTTCACCCTTATCATCTATCTATACATCCTTACCCAAAGCCTTACTTTCAGTGAAGTTTTTTAAATGCAGGGCATTACTCCAAGTGAAATATGATGTCGTAAATACAATATTTACTAAAACTGCTTAATTCAAGCAGTACACAGTAGTAGATCTATTCTGAAGATAACACCCTCTGTAGGCTGTGATGAAGCCTAATTTCTACATTTATCTAAATTAAAGTACCTTTGAAGAGTGTTTTTAACACACTTTTATAAGCCAAGATGTGTCTGAAAGAAATCAACTTCCATCTCAGGTCAAATGAGGTTGGGCACATTCGGGGTGGCTTGATGGCAGAGCAATTTGCAAAGCCTACAGTTAAAAGTGATTGAGGTACATTATTCAATTTTTTTTTGAAATTGCTTGCTGCTAGATTTTAGTGTATTTTGTTCATGTCTAACTGGATTTCATAAACACCCAAGGATGGGAATTTATAATGCCAACACTGATAGAACAATAGCTCTGTTGGGCCCAACTATTCATTCTTCAAACTGAATTTCTTATTTTTTCCCTCTTACTTTCTTATACCTTTTGACACTGTGACTTACAAAAAAAAAAAAAAAAATAGAAGCTCTCTTGTCTTCTTTTACTGAAACCAGAAAGACTCCTTTCTCTAAAAGCAAAGCAAGAGCCATATGTTTACCATCTCTTCAGATGCACACCTTCCCTGAGCAAGGCCCACCCTCATCTAAGCATGGCCAACAAGGTCACCTGCATTCCTGGCTCCTTTGTTCTGACCTCGTGGTCTTGGGACTGATTGTGGCAGATATAATGGGTTTATGACCCCTTTTCTGAAAATATAGCATACCTTTTCAGTGTTTTAAAATAAGAGAACTCTGGGTTCTTTTCTCTTTCTTCCCACTATTCCCCCGAGACTCCCTATCCATTGAACAATGTTTGGCTGTGAGTCTCAGCATCTGTTTTTGAGGCACTGCTGTGTAGAGCCTCTCAGAGGACAACTCTGACAGGTCCTGTCTGCAAGCTTAGCGGAGTATCTATCGTCATACTGTCAGGGGTTGGCTCACTTTCCGGATAGGGTGAGTCTTTGGTTGGGCCAGGCATTGGTTGGGCACTCCTTCAATCTGTATTCTATCTCCTCTGTCTTTATCCCTGCACATCCTGTAGGCAGGGTCAATTTTGAGTCAAAGTTTTTGTGGGTGGGTTGATGTTCCCTGCCCTTTACTAGAAAACTAGTCTTGTTAAAGGTGTCCTCTTCAGTCTCTATGCCCTCTGCTACTAGGACTCTCTATTTAAATCCCCCTCATATCCTCTAGAATCCTACCCTGACTTAGGTCTCCAGCTTGTCCCCAGATGTCCCCACACTCAGTTTCTCTTTTCTCTACAGGCCTTCTGTCCTCGCTTTTTTCAGGAGCTCTACAAGAAAAATAACAGCCAACTAAGCAGGGCCCAGAGGGGCTTGCTGAGACTGACGCATCAACCAAGGACCACGCAGGAACTGGACCTAGACCCCTACAAAGATGTAGCAGATGGGCAGCTTAGGTTTCATGTGGGTCCTCTAGTAAGGGAAGTAGGGTGTGCACTGGACATGGACTCACTTGCTAGCTTTTGGATCACTTTCCCCTAGCGGCTCTGCCTTGACAGGCTACAGGGGAAGAGGACATCTTCAGCATTGATACAACTTGATGAACTGGGGTGGATAGGAAAGGAAGCTCCCTTTTGCTGAGTAAAAGGAGAGGGAGAGAGAATGGAACTGGATGGGAAGGAGAGAAGGGACTATAGGATGTAAAGTGAATAAAATAAATGAGAAAACAAAACAACAAGAGAAGTCTGTGAAATACAGAAAGTCTCAGGAAGTGGCTATAGTATGCAAATCTCTTACTTAGTCCTACAGCCTTTTCTTATTTGCAGTTGTTTGCTTCAAAGCAGTATCCACTTCTGGATCCCAACCTGCCAGGTACAGTAGGGGCAAAGGTTATTTACGGGGTAAGATTTGCTCTACAGAAAAGAATTCCTGCCTGGTGCTGTAAGCATGGTCAAAATGTATGGCTACAAAAGTCATAGGCCCTAGCTGAGAGCATATTGAGGTCATACCTCTACATAGTCATGTTGGCGATGAGTAAATAAAAATTAAGGTTAAAATACATAACAACTTCTGTAAAAAAGTTATCAAATGGTTCTCTTCATCCATTAACTCATAACTTGTGTTATGAAATAACTGAGCTTTCATCTTCAATGCCTCACACATGCTTCTACGACCGAGGGAGCCCAGGAATGCACAGTCAAACAAGGAAGGAAAGTATATAAACTCAGTGTCTGGAATGGCTAAAAGCCCTGACAGCATTTTTTCTTTCCAATTAATTTTTTTTTTGTCCTTGTTTTCTGTAGTCCAACAAGTTCATAATTAAAAAATTCTGGAGAAATATTTTGTTTTAGATAAGCACACAAAATAGCAAAACAACAAAAAAATTACCAAAATTCACTGAAATTGAAATTGTGATGGTTTGAATCTTAGCCTTTAAGATTATCTTTAAGCCAAGCCTCCTGAAGCAGACAGCTCCTAGTTAGAACATTAACCTTAGTTTAGATGTTGACAAATGCTTTAAGAAGAGAAAAGGTGTTGGGCATTAACCCCCATTTATTTTCTTTTTCTTTTTCTTTTTTTTTTTTTTTTTTTTTTCAGCAATCTGACACTGAAGTCTTTTTCACCCTGGCCCCTCTCCGATGTCTTCAAACAAAGACTGTGTGATTATGTGATTTTGGTAGTTCTAGTTTTTCTTTGCGAAACCATCAGTGTGCTACAAGCTAGTCTGCTATATCTCTAAGTCATGGTGGCCATTATCAAACTGAGTCAGTTTAACAAAAACAAAACAAAGTCAAAGAAACAAACAGACATATAATATAGGTAAACCTACTAAAATCTGTACATCTAAAGAAACTAATCAAGAAGGAGGCCCCTGACTAAAATGCTCAATCCCCATCCCGAAAGGCAAAGAGGATGGACATCAGAAGAAAAAGAAAACAGGAAACAAGTTAGGAACGTGCCACAGAAGGTCTCTGAAAGGCTCTGCCCTGCAGACTATCAAAGCAGATGCTGAGACTTATGGCCAACTGTTGGGCAGAGTGCATGGAATCTTATGTAAGAAGTGGGAAATAGTAAGATCTGGAGGGGATGGGAACTCCACAAGGAGAGCAACAGAACTAGAAAATTTGAACACAGGGGTCTTTCCAGAGTCTCATACTCCAACCAAGTACCATGCATGGAGATAACCTAGAACCCCTGCACAGATGTAGCCCATGGCAGTTCAGTGTCCATGTGGCTTCCATAGTAATGGGAAGAGAGACTGCCTCTGACATGAACTGATTGACCTGCTCTTTGATCACCTCCCCCTGAGAGGGGAGCAGCCTTACCAAGCCACAGAAGATGACAATGCAGCCACTCCTGATGAGATTTGATAGATTAAGATCAGAAGGAAGAAGAGGGGGACCTCCCCTATCAGGACTTGGGGAAGGGCAGGTGTAAAGAAGGGGGAGGGAAGATGGGATTGGGAGGGGAGGAGGGAGGGATTTATGGGTGGATATAAAGTGTAATTAATAAAACTTTTTAAAAAAAGAAACAAACAAAAAAGCACAGGCTGCTAAAAAGAAAAGGTAGAGCAGACTCCACTGGGTGCGGGGAGTTAGGGCTTTTGTTTTGTTTTTGTGTAATTGTCTTTCACCTCCTGTTGATGTGATGGATTCCCACACCCTTCCTTATGATGCCACCACTTTGTACTTCCCTCTCACAGGCAGTCTTTCAGAACCACCACAGTAGCTCTGATGTCTCTTCCGTTGCATGAATTATTGACCTTTTTGCAAAGCTGTCATTCATTTTGGTTTGTGGCCCCTGGAAATCTTATTGAAGAGATACATGTGGTCCTGCTGATTTTTAACAAGTAAAATTTCATAAGTAGTTGTTCTTCTATAATCTTGGAAAAAAAAATAACCCGTTCTATGAAGTCTCTCACAAATCGGCACTTCTTGATGGAAGGTGAGCATTACTTCCCATCCAGTGTCCTTTTCAAAGCTCTTGCCTGTGGTACATCCATCAGTTCATGGATTATCTGTCTATAATGTTCTTATTCCTGCTAACCAGTGACCTGTGCTAGGGAACTGAAGTCAAGTTCCAGACTCAGCAGAACCCAGGGACTAGGTGGGTTCTAGGTGTAATACTGATCAAGAAATTTTACCAGACTTCTCTGAAGCTTTTATTACAAGATAGCTCAGGGTTCAAAGCAGGGTCAGAGAAAGAAGGATAAATATGTGAAGTCATTCCCATCACTTTCACCAAATGTGCTCAGGACACAAAAGACTCACTGTCAAATGAGGGCTGTTTACATAATGTCCTTGAATGTACTATCTCTTGCCTGAGACATTCCTTTGACAGGCGGAGGCCCTCCTCTCAGGGGAATAAACAAAGATCTAAGGGACCAGAGTCCACAGAGTAGGATAGTGTAGAAATGTCTCTATTATATGCAGGCTATGTGTTCTCTTTGAAAGAAAGAAAAAAAATATTTTTGTGATCAATATTGTCGATAGTCTCCCTCTGCCCCACAACATACATTTATTTTCCTTGAAATACTCATCTAAGGGGTCAAAGGTGACTGGGTCTCAAACTTGTACATTAATGCTTCCCAAGAAGCAAATACGTGCACACAAGGATCTTATGAGAAAAATTTCTGTGGGAATATAGGTAGTGGATTTGGGCAGACGAAAGAGTTAAGTTAAGGGAGTCATGAGAAAGTCCTTTAAGCCTGAAAGCCACCCCTTTCTTGAACAATGAGGTTAGCTGTTTATGCCTCTGCTTTGATAACCTGGTTGACCACTGAAGGGTGTGGCTGTAGGCAAAATGTCTCTCTTTGGCTCAAGATGTTTTCTGGAGAAGGACTAAAAGTCATCAAATAATAAATCTTATGCTTCATTCGTGGACAGGGAATCTCAAGAGCCAACTACAGTATTCACTATAGGTACTAAATTAAGTCAGAATCTAAAACAAGAAAAATTAAAATGATGTAAGTAAAAACAAACCCCAAATAGCTGAATTTTCTGTTTTATTGTTGTTGTTGTTGTTGTTATTTTTAAATAGACAGCAGATGACAACAGTATGATGCAGTGCTAAAATATCCTAAGGGCTTCATTCAGAAAGATATGCACTTGTTATTTGAAATAACGAGACGGTAAGAAGGCAAGCAAATTTCACATTCATTTTCTTCTCTTAGAAAATGATGAAGGTTATCTAAGTTCAAGTAATTAACTTTCAAAAGAGGAACTTTATTGCTCTCGTATTTCTTATGCAAGTTTTAGTAGAAAAATGATCTTGAAACCAAATGAATGAAGGAGCAGACATTCCTCTCTTCACCAAATTTGGAGGTGAATAAATATTCATTATGACTAGACGTTGCAGTAAAAAGGGGCACTTGTAGTTGTCTTTGGTGATGACTACAGCAGGTCCTTATTAGCATACCTAAAGAACAGAATAATGTTCTTCAGCCAAAGAGCTATCGCTTTCAAAATATTTGTGGACTTAAGAAAAATGAGCTTTTTTAATGCCTAAAGTTGTCAAATTTCAAAGTTTTAAGATGCCATTTAAATAAGAAAGGCAAGTTTCCCAAAAATGATATATATACATATATACATTTTATCTCTCAGTTGCAGCCAAGTTGAAAATGAAAGTAAGTGTTTATTGCTCTCTTGAGATTCTGAAGTATACCTTTAAGCCTTTAAGTCGCCTTTCATTTGGGTGTGGCTGGGCATGTTGCTATTCTTAGAAATCAGGATGAACAACTTACATAGTTGAGGGCATAATGTTCTTAACAGAATCAAGATAAAATATTTCTATGGAAAAGCATCAAATAAAAATTAAGGATCAGTTTGAGGAGTACAAAGTATCTATTGATGTGTAGTTCCTGGTACAGCCAAAGCATTGTTATTTTCCATGCACGGTGTGCTATAGAAATAAGCATTTTTAATGCCTGAGGACTACAAGATTACTTGATCTCCTTGATTTTTAAGTTCAGATTCATAAAAGACACTTCATAGAATTGGCATTTATATCTGTATGGTGTGATTCAAGGGACATCACAAATCCTTTCTCTCAGCAAGTCCCCTGAATGCTGTCTTTTCAATGTATCCCGATCTCCCACGCATCGGAGAAATTTCTGAGACTATTGTTCATTTCATTTGATACATGGAAGGAAGTCCAGATCTAATGGAAAAGTGTACGGACTTAGTAGCCTGCCTGTATTTGATGTTTTGACATTTCTCTGCTATTAAAAAGACCAACTTAGCAGATTATCTGTTGGCGAGTTCTGTGGAGATAGTGGAGTAATGAAAGGAAGAACTATAAAAGATCGGGGGATAGTTCTGAGTCCTCAGTGAAAGAAACTCTAGTGTGCATAGCTAGGAGTTACAGGAAGATCCAAAGACAGACTGTTTCTCAGTTCTCTCTCCTAGCAGTCATCTTAGCTCACCTATTACCTGATTTTCTCTCAAGGACAGCAGTATCGACAAACTCTGACCCATGTACTCTCTCCTGTTTCTGTGTTTGAGAGATAACCCACCTCTAGTTCCTTTTTCTTCTGAGATCTGAAGACTCTTCTTCTCAGTCAAAGCCAAGAATCATAGTAAGAAGTATAAAGTTAAAGGGATACTTTTAAGCAAAATACTGATTGTGTTCTGCTATCAATAAACCAAGAAACAATATCAAGGGTAAAGAAATAATTTACCATTTCTATTTCTAACAAAAATCTATCAGCTTTTATCATTTATTCTTAGCACAGAACAATAGAGAATAATTAATGTGCTTTCTGACTACTGCCATTTTGTGGTATAAAATTTCTCTGATGCATCCAATAACTAATTATTCTTTTCATATTAAGACCCTTTAGTTCTAAATATCTGATAAACCCTGTATAAAACCTTTCTTGGCGTTAGATGAAA